GGGGGGGGGTCGTTCGGACGGCGGTGCTTTGCTTGTGTCGCACCGGGAGATTCTTACTGGTTTGGTGGAGCCTCGCTTGAAAGGAAACGCTGACTGCTGTGCTGATGGGTACAGTATGCATACCAAGTGGAAAAGTACCATGAAACATTCCACACGATCCTGTACTTGCTGGGACGGTCGCGGCATTGCTATATCTAGATTGCACGTATCATCTTGCGGGCAAAAGTAGAAGTGCAGTTGTGGTACGGTGGTTGGTGCAGAAGCCTAACGTTCGATTGTCGAGGTGGGTAGGGTGGGGGTCCATGTTGGCGTGAAACATGTCGCATGATATCACGCCTCGGAGCCGACATACGGAACGATGGAGCGTTAATCAGAGAGAGAGAGGCAGAAAGAGACAACAGAACGAGAGAAAAAGCGAGAGAGGGAGAGAGAGAGAGGGAGAGGAAACGACGACGGCGCTACACGATTCACCGGGAGTCTGGCAAAGCGAGAGAGTGTGTGCGGAGTCTCAAAAAACGCACATAATACGAAAGGGAAGGGAAGGATAGAAAGAGAGGATCCACAAAATGCACGGGATACACAAGAGCAAGGCCAGATACATTGGGCTTGGGCGGGAGGGATAGAGAGACAGACTCACTTGAGCGCACCAAGCGTCCGGCTGAAGGCCAAGGGGGCGGCGAGCAAGAATCCTATCGTCACCCACACGTGCCTGTCGCGGAGAACAGAATCCGGGTAGGACCTGCCCAAGATGTCGGCCATGGCCGTCGGCATCAGGTCCCTGGCATTGTGCAACCGACAGCGGAAAGAGGGTGCAAGGTTGGGTTGAAGTGCACCGTTTCTAGCCTTCTCGGCGTTAGGTTCGACACCTTTCCGTATGAGTGTTGGACGAGTCCGCCGTGGGTCGCGCAGGTGCAGGAGAATATTTTCATGTGTGGGTCTCCATCGTCCTTCATAGGGTTGACGCATAAGCGGAGGCATAAGGCGGGTCCCTGGAATTATGGGCAGAAACCCCAGATACGACGCCCGGGACGAAACCAACAGAAAAACAAAATGCTAGGCAGAAGACCCACCCAACCACGACGAGGTAGCTCGTGGCGACGCCGAAGCACTTGAGGGCAACCGCCAAGTCGATCAGAAACGCCCACCTGTGTTGCACGAGCACAAAAAAAAGTTTCCACAAGCAAGGAAAGGCGGGCGGGGCAAGGTAGGGGGTCGCATCGACGTCAAACAATCCAACGGTTTGTTCCGCACACAATCTGTTCTGATGAGCCGCATCAGACCGTGCCGCACCGGTACTTGGGGATCAGAACGAGCACCAACCCACCCCCTACTTCTACTTCCGTCATGTTGAGGGACTTACACGCAACCTGACAGTTTCTCCTGCTACCCTTGTTCCTTTGCTTCCCCATCTCGGGTATGTACCTGGGAGCTCCGACAAGGGCCACAGCGCGGAACGAGCTGGGTGGGGTACACCGCGTCCCGCCCTTACCCCCCCCGCCCTCGGCCTCTTCCCTGGCGTCCTCTTTACGCTTCGCCAGCGCCGACACCGTCATGGACGACCTGGCCAGCAGGTGCAGGCCGCTGCCGGCGAGGCACGCGAAGACCATCAGGTAGAACGTCCCAATCTGCCCGAGACAAGGGTCACAATGGTGGTGGGGGGGGGTGTACTCATAGTCGCGCATGCCGTAGTCGTTTGACCATTGACCTCTCATCCCTACAAAGCCGGGACGGAGCACGCCGGGTTCTCACCAGACCAGGCTCTCACATCACCAAGCGCGAAGGGGGGGGGGTTAGAGAGGGACACGCGTTCCACGACTATGATAGGGTTGTCCTAGTAGGGCGTGCCGGGAAAAGCTTGTGCTGTGTGTGCGGAATGGGGTTATGCCGTGGTGTCTGGTCGGTGGCAAGCAAGGAAGGAGAACACGGTCATGGCCTTGCGCTTTGGCGGAAGGACGGCGGTAAAGGACCGTTGGACGGCGGTGTACGAGCGTTGGGCTGTGGCGACCAAGCCACCTTTCAAGCTTGGTGTGTGCTGGAGGTCGGGGGCGGGGGGGTCTGAGAAGGTGTGGCAACGCACTGATCAGAAAAGGCGCCCGTGTAGTGGTGTTTAGTCGAATGGCTAGTTGCACCTCCACAAAGAACTGCTGTAGTACTTACTGCTGTAGCGCACGTGAATTCTCGTTCGGTAGCAAACCTATTCTACTCCAAGGTGCCTTCTGTATTCCTGCTTTTGGTGCAAATTAACAGATCTCCTTGTCTATTATCCATGCCACTGCACGTCCCTTCTTTGGCGTAGCAACAGTGCACGTGATTCGCGGCCGAAGAGGCTTCGTACACCCGGCAGGCAACCCACCAACCAGCCGGCTCTGGCAAAGCCTCCCGCCACCCCGACCACGCTGACTCCCAGGAGGGTGTTCGATAGCGTCGTGACACACGCGAACATCGTGGCCGTTCGAGGCGTGGTTCCCCCAGCACCGCCACCGCCGCCGCTGACGGACGCCGACCCGACCGTCGCCATACTTGCTCGCGCCACCCCCCCGTCCTTGGGGGAAAGCAAGAGGGAGATAACACCTTGGTTCGCCTGCTGTTGCGGACGGAAAGAACGAAACACACCACGCGAGTAAAACTTTAATGGTACGCAGCACTCACTCCCCGCTTCACTTGTGGCGAAACCAACAGGGAAAATATAGGGTCTTGACGTGGGTACGAGGGTTTCACGTAATAATGGCTCGGGTAACCGTCAGGGATAAATGGGTTTTGGTGTGCATAGGATCCAGCACCGGCTAAGTTGTCACAATTCGTGAAATCGAACCCTCAGTTCTTTCGCTATTTCTCAGACATGAACGGGCAGATCTCGGGTAGGGAAAGGAGGACGGCATCGGTGTCAGGGCCGGGAGTATTATGGGCGAATGTGCGTACGTGCGCGCCGGTAACACAGCAGTGGGTACTCGTCGTACTTGTTGTTTTCGTCCCTTCGTTTGTTGGCGCCAAACTATAGCTTGCGGTATCATGTGTTTGACACTGCAGCTTGAATTACATGCAGAAAGGAAAACCAGCCGGTCGCCACACTGCTGCTACTGCTGATCCGCAGAGGTCTACGAGCAAGACTGACTCATGAAAGACATTGATGGCAATGATAGCACCAGAGGGACGGGCATCACAAACCATGTCAACCGGTGCTACACACGAGCGCAAGGAGTTGCGACATGAAATTGTCAGGATAATTCGTCAAAACAGTAGTACAGCAGTAGGGAACGACATCCTGTATTCCATGGGCCAACAACCAAGGCATCCTTCACATGACAACTCTTGCCGAGAGCCTCCCGTTGCACACCGCTTTGGTTAACCGGTTTCACCACCTCCCAGACCGCGTCGAGTGTTGGATCATTGCGGACATACGAAGGTACTGAGAGGGAGATCGGAACGTTTTTTGATGTCAAGACAACAACAACAACAAGCTAATCAATCTCCGAGCAAAACCTTGTGTATTCAGCCGGGACACGCGGGACTAATCGACCCAACAGCCCGCGAGAAAACGCCACTGGCCTCTCTCGGCATGGTCTATCGTCTCTTCCAGCTGTTGTGGCTGCTACGTGTCCTTCCGGAGTTCAGTCTGTTCACCTCCGTGATCCCGACTCTCTGGACTTGCGTCTCAAGTGCCACCTCCTTCCCTCGCTGTCTCCACCTAGCGGGACGACTGTGCTGGTCTACAGGAGTCTGCACTGGAGTCTGCAAGCTTAGCAGGGCTGAGGGTACCGGACACTCGCTTCGGCCTGCAAGATGTGACTTTGATGCTGCCTCAAGGGCCCCTAACCATTCCGCCGACCCCCTTTTCCAGTCATGATGTCGCCATACAATGAGATGTTTGGCAGAAATCGATGCGTTTTAGGTCAATAGGGAGGCGGGCCGCGGCTCCGCTGGCTCTCGTGGTCAGCTGGGGCTGCACGTACAGTAACGCACTTATAGATAGTCGGCGGAAATTTCGTTGCAAAATAAGGGAGTAGACAATTAACCCTATCCCTTTGTAGCTGCTGTGCGCGGGACAAAATTGCCGCGATTCAATATATTTAGGCCACTGCACGGGGTCAGGGCTAGGTCTTTGCGACGATCGGTAGGCCCATACCCCCCGATGCCTTGTGGTGGCCGGGAACGTTCATACGACTGCTGTGTTCAGAATATTTCACATCGTTTCGCAACACTGCGGTGCGTATTGAATGCGGGGTCTGCCCCAATCTCGCCGGATGTTGCCAACAAGACACGGAAGCGATAGGAGGTGCATCTAACCTGCCTCGTAGGCTTAGCACGCTTTTCAGAAAAATAGGCATCTCTCACCTTCAAGGAGTGGCGTGTGTACAGCAGTAGCTCTTTCTTCTCTGTCCCTCTCTGTTCCCGCTCGGTCTCTTGTCTTCTCACAATTTATTGATCCTACGGCCGACGGATTGTTCAGCAACAGAACGAGTCAAGTGCGCTCGAACAGAGCTTGAGGCCACAACAAGAACCCGCAAGCGCACGAGAAGAAAACGGCGAGATACTTTCCCCTCCACGTCCGTCCGGGCGGTGAGCGTGTGTGAGATATGGTGCCCAGGGCCGGTATTGGCGTATCAGGGTGTACATATAGGCGGGAGCGGTGGAATTCTAAGGGAGCACCGCAGAATTCGGCACAGAAGCGCCACCTCCGCAAACGAAGAACAGCATCAAGACCCCACCCGATGGATGCGGCATCAAGGCGCAGCCAGCGTGCAACAGGCCGAGTGGGCGCACGAAGGATAACGGAGGCGTACTCACAACCCCGCGGTCTCATTTTTGGCAAGCGGAGCGTTGGGGCTGCGACGGGGGTAAATCGAAGTCAAAATACAGGTGGAGAGCCGGATATTCAAACGTCGTCGGTGCGCGGTGGACTAAAAGAGAGCGAGAGGAGACAGGGTGCGGGTTCATCGGAGAGCCAGCTGCAGTGGGGCGGTGTGCTGTGTGCTTCATCGGGCGGGGAGGCCATGATGCAGGAAAAGAAGAGAGCGGCGGCGGCGTTGGTGAACGGGATCGCGGGGAACGGGAACGGGCGAGCTGCTGCTTCTTCTGCCGTGGAAGGACAGGGGCTGTCGAGCACCAAAGCTGCTGGGTAAGAAGAGCGGTACCTGCCATGGTTGTCATTTTGTGATGTCTGACCTTGTGTTCGGCTATCCCCAACGGCAGTGCAACCAGTCGCCCTCCGAGATAAAGGGGGGTTTAAAACAGATGTGCGCATCGAAAGAGACCAATCGCAACACGTTAGGGTGTGTAGCAGGCAATCTTCTTGTGTAGATGGATGGAGAATTTGTCCTCAAGAACTCTCCTCCTGCCGTTGCCCACTCGCAGGCCCAAACATATGAGGGTAGCTTTGTTTTTCTATTGCTGAGCATTCTCGTTTGTCTCTCTCCAATGTTGGGGATGCTCATTTTGGCTCGCAACCCCTCGAAGGCTTTTTCCTGTGTGCTGCCCTACTGTACGTACGGAGAACACCGAAATTCGCCTCCCACTGCTGTCTCATGCGATGTTGGTGTTAACGTTTTTACAGCAGTACAGCAGTCGCACCGAAGGGGCCCCTCAGAACATGTATGCACCAGGTGCTGATTCTTTCTCCGTTGTTGTCGCCCAAATAATACTCTCTTCACAAGCATTGTGTTGCCGAAGAGCTGCTCGGGGAAGGTGTGGCGGGGGATAAGGGCGGGGTACCCGACGACGTGCCAACGGCGGTGGGAGAGGGTTGTATCCGATGTTCGTATGCATTTTGCCATATTGACAGTGTGATGTAATGGATGCGTGTGTTCATGTACAGTACATGTAGGCACCCTCGGCGATGGCCCGTTTCGTGTTTCTCGGAGCACGAGGCCTTTGTGTGGTGCCTTTTTGTCAAACCCTGCGCGCACGCGAAAGTGCCGCTAATGCTCGTTGTACCATTCCACTGCGGTGTTATCCCGCCTCGGTGATGTGACAGCAGTTTACCCTCTGGGAACACCTTCTGCGCAACACGCTCGTATTTACTCGGCTTGTTGCCCACCGTAGGTGACGTAAGATATCACACCCCCTGGACCGATTTACAGAGCTCGATTGCTGCATAGCAGAGGTAGTGGTGGCGCGAAAGATGGCGACACTGGAACCGTCTCGTCGAGAGCTTTCCGAAACGCTCTCTTTGACTTCGTTGTGGAGTGATCGCGCTGTGAAAATCGGTCCAGGGGGTGCGATATCTATCGTCACCTACGGTCTGTACCCAGCGGAGGAACCAGCAGTGCCCTCGTGTTGTTGTCGACTGCTACAACCATCACCACAGCACAGCACGTACGCATTCATCTGTTTAGGCCGTTAAAAAATGGTGTGTGTTGTTTCCTTTTTTTCCCGGCCCTGGTCTACATGCCTTTCGGGCATTGGTAGCAAGGTCATAGACAGGAAAGTGGAACAAGAATTCGCAAGTACTGCATTCTAAAACCGTTGGAGTACTACATGTACTGCCAAAACCAAACAAACAATATATACTGCCAAAAACAAAAAGTAAAAACCAATAATAAAGATGTGTACTGCCAAAAACCAAAAACCAATAATACTGCCAAAAGTATAAAACAAAATGCCAAAAACAAAGAGTAAAAACCAAAAATAACGATGTGTACTGCCAAAAACCAAAAGCCAATAAATACTGCCAAAAAAAACAAAAACCAAAAATAATATCTGCAGTTACCCCCCACCATGCATTTCACTGCGAAGGCCAGAATTTCCAGACGCAAGGTCATACATTGCTGTATACTGGGCAGGCTAATGGTCATGCCGTCATCTTTTCATTGTATGCACCATATATACCGTAATCCACGCCGCCCGTCGTGCTGATCACGCCTGCCGCAGGCCAACGTTTCAAGTGTGGAGCAGGGACAGCCATGGGTATTGCACCGAGTGCGAAGACACGAGGGCCACGGTGTTGTGCCACGAGTGCGACGAGGCCTACTGCTCCCTGTGTTGGGCGGCGTTGCACCGCAGGGGGGAGAGGGCCAAGCACGAGACCATTCCGCTGGGGAGGTGGGTCGTTCCGTGTTTGTTGTTGTTGTTGTGGTTGTGTTTGTGATTGTGATGGTGGTTGTGACCTTGGTGTTTCAGAGCCCGGGATCACACGGCCAGCCGCGACAACCCGTGCCGGGAGAGCAAAGCAAAATATATAGGAGACTAGCACAAGCCAGATGTAGATCCCCTCTGTGTTTGGTGGAACTACTTGGCCCTTGCCATTTGGCAACAACGCACGTAGCGACCACACTATTTTTTTCAAGCAAGACAGCTGTTGTCGATTTCCGTACAAAAGCAGACGCGGTGAATCAATGCTCATAGGTGCGGTATGAAGTTTCCCGTAACGGTGAAGACGAGCTGTCCCAGGCGTAAGGACCCGTCTTCCATCTCCCACCCCACCAAGACCATCCTATTCTTGAGCTTTTTCGTCCGTGCCCCCCCCCCCCCCCCCCCCCC